CTCCTTTAACTCTTTATCTACCTAATAAATTTTTTGATTCAGTAGACTTATGTTGGCTGAAACCGTTACTCAGCCGAGATATTCAATTTAGTCGTGGTTTGGCAAATTTTATAGATTTCTGTAAAAAAAAATCTACTACTCCGGAATGTACAAATATGAAATCGAGGCATGACACAGAAAGTAGAAGTGTCAGTTCGTTTACTAAAATGAACTATGAGCATTTCGTATTGCAAGTTTTGCTATAAGAAATGCTCCTCCTGTTTATTCGCGCAATTCACATCAAAGATCTATCACTTGCGTAGGAAATAAATTTGGTAAGACATTTCTGACCAGCATACACCTTCCGGTCGTATGAAATCTATGAAACAGGTCCAAACCTGTCCATATCCACCCAATTTTGTGATTTTGGCATTTCTTATGGCAAAATAGTGAAGCAGTTCGCGTTTTGCTTTCAACGATAGCAGTTCAGTTCGTGCCAACCTCAGTGTGAGAATTTTTCTTCCATTTGCTTGTTGCGTGCTGGCGTTTCGCCTCCCGGAAGAAAGGCGCTTGTTGAATGTTGTCGTCGTCGTATTTGTGCGTTGAGGTTGTGTTTCAGAAATACAATCGAAGTGTGCGTGGCCGCAATTAAGTGGACCCTACAGGATTGCTTTTATTGACAATAATCGTATTGTCAATACATTCAATATTGACGTCAATACATCGGTATTGACAATATTTCTGTATTCACATCATCAATATTTTTGTCAATAATTCCCCTTTGCTTCAATATATATTTTACGTGTGGGGTTTGCTTTAAGTGGACCCTACACGATTACTTTTATTGACAATAATCGTATTGTCAATACATTCTATATTGACGTCAATATATCGAGATTGACAATATTTCTGAATTCACAATCATCAATATTATTGTCAATAATTCCCCTTCGCGTCAATATATTGATACGTGTGGGGTTTGCTTTAGACGAGTGTTTTCGGCGTTGGTCGCGAGCATATTCGGCCAGTGAAGAGCTGGCGCTGAAGCTTTCAGACTACTGGTGAACAAAAGCCGTTGTGTAGTGGGTGATTCTTCATTCCTTTATTTAACGTCGGTCTCTGTTCCGCAATCTAGTGTCAGTCACCGACGCAGCTTCCACACCTTCATACGATATCGCACCCATTCAACACACATGGGCCGGGACCAACGGCTTTACTTCCCTTCCGAAGGAAGACGTGACCAGAGATTTTTATGCCTCAGAAAAATCCCACCGACCTCGGCTGGGATTGAACCCAGACCCATTGGGGTGTTAGAAAGCAGTCACGCTTACCACTACACCACCGGAAATCCTCATTTATCCCAGGGATGCACGTGGGCGATGTTACCCACGGATTCACCCAAACCCTTTTTGGCCCATCATACAATGACAGGTTGAGTACAATTTGAGGTTATTAAACTTGATCAAGTCGAACAGCGAGGATGGTCCACAGTCTACCGTCGAATTGTTGTAAAAATGTGAATGATTGCTTATAACGCACAATTATGCAAAGTGTGATTCAACTCGGAGAAGGTCGAGTTTCTCGGATTCGTGATTTGGTGTGGAACTGCTCAACAGGCAAACCAAACTAAGACGCAATATGTGCCATTTAACTGGAATTTTCTAGTCATTTATCTCTATTAAAGATGACTGCTTCTTCATAACAAGAGCAATTCTTTGAAAGATAAACGCCATTGAACAATCTATCTGAAAAAAAAAAATGTTCTCACTCATGGAGATGTCTTTTTTTTATAACACGAGCGACTCTTTAACAGACAAATACTGTTGCATAGTAATTTGGTCAAATGAAATTCGAAGGAACATAAGGTTGACTGAACAAAAGGTTGAAATGTACAAAAAGGTCAAAATGTACAAAAGATCGAAGGGACAAAAGCTCGAAGGAACAAAAGGTCGAAGGGACAAAAGGTCAAAATTGATATCACTTTTAGTGGATCAAAAAATAATAAAATAAATAGTCGGAAAGGCAGAGTATAGCAAGTAAATCAAGCTTCGACTTTGAGTAACCTAACTAAAATACTAAAAACATATTTTTCTGGATTTACTGAACTGAACTGAACTGAAAATGCTCCAATGTTATTTCATCGATCTTTTTTTTCCATTTAGACCATTTCGATCTTTTTTCCATTTCGACATTTTGTCCATTCGACCTTTTGTCCATTTGACCTTAAGCTCCATTTAGACCTTTTGTCCTTTAATCATTTGTCTTTCGACCATTTCAAGAGCAAATTTTCATTACGTCGAAAGTAACAAAGGTAAAAGTCGAGCTATCAGTGTCAATCGATTCTCCTGCTATTACACTATATACTGTCCGAATATAGGATCAAATCCCATTTTTGAATTTATTTACCAGTCAAATTGCTTTTTGACGTAATCACCTTCCGATCAAAATAGTTTTCGATGTTACTTAAGTCACCCAATTTCTATGGAGGTGCCGTTTGACTTAAGTAACAGCGCTGAGAAACCCGTGAAAAGTGTACGTTCGTCGTTTCGCTTTCTCATTATTAAAGTGAATAAATCGAACTGTTTGTTGCTAAGATGATTTCGGTGGTCCTAAAATGATGAATGGGCTGCACATAAGGAGACGTAATTGATAATTCTCCCGAATATCCTGGTAAATACACTTTGACTTAAGTAACAATAGGGGCCACCAAACGACGTATAATAACTTTTGACTCAAAAACCAGTATTTTTAGCATGAAAGCTAGCGATTTGCATTTGTATGATTAAAACCCTGCTAAATATGTTAAACATTGCTATCACTATGAGATTATATGTGTTTACTTGGAAATAGGAATAACTTTTCGGTCATCAAAACAAAACTTTATTTTTCTCGGATTGGTGCGAATGTTACTTACGACATAATGAAAATTTGCTCTTGATTTGTCATAGGTCATGAGCTTGTTTTCAGTTTCAAAATTCCGAAAAATTCCTGTGGGTAGTCAAAATGACATCCGGTCATCCAAACGTAAGTCAGCCAATCGCTTGTTTGCAAATGGTACGTTGAACGTTCGTGTGCCAAACGTCTCAGCCCCTTATGGATTAAAATAAAAACAATTAGTAATTTATTATACTTTGCTTTTCATATTTTCTAATGCTCCGTTTCTCAATCTACGGATTGCGATCCATCGATGGGTCACTGGCTTTAAATAATTGATTTTTAATTTAATGATAATTTAAACGTTGGTTATTTACAACTGTTCAAAAGTTGCTAAAGCCTTCAAGCAAATTTATGGAAGCATTCTAATTTTCCTATACTAAATCAAACCTCTTTACTCTATCGTCCCTTGAATAACCTTACATATTTCTACGATTAAAAAAAAAACCTTAAGAATTTTTACGGCATTTTGGCGATTAGTTGGCTTTGATGACGTTTTTCAAGGCTGCTGCACTAAACCATTGTATTTATGGCAAATCAAGGGGTAATTTTTGTGATATGTTGCAGCAGACTATCGACTATTTTGTTCGGCATTAATCGTGAATGTGTAGCTATTCGCATTTGGCGGTATAAACTGATCAAAATCGACCGCTGTTTGGTGCATCCGCTTCACCAAAGATTGAATCAAACAATGTTGGAATGTTCTGCTCATGTTGATAGTTATAGGCTCATCATTCCCAGTGTTCCCGTAGGGAAACCAAATTTTTAACAGCAGCTGACTGGTTTTCAGCAACGGGGACAATTTCTCAAAAATAAAGTGGTTTCCTTTCCCACTGTATAAATCTTCCTTTTCTTCCTCCTACACTCTCTCTGTTAATCGATTTGCTGTATACTTTGCGCTTGATCTGAACTTCGGTCCAACTACTCTAACGTTGTTGGGCTATATGCTCGACCTATTTGCAGGTGAACCTAAGTCCAACGAGGAATGGTAGATACTTTTTGGGTAAATATATCCTTTACAGGTATCCACCACGATCGACCGTCGAGGATTTAGCGATAAATTAGGAACGTTTTTTGTACCTCCTGCGACCAATCTAGCACTATTTATATAAAAATTTCGATTTATAAACTTTAACCGCGGAACTGAATTGTTTATATTCTAATAATACATCGAGATTACATTTGCGATGGCGAATTATGTTTACCTCTCACTATTATCTATATTACTACTACTACCACTACTACTACCACTTCTACTACATACTATCATCTTGTTTACTTATCTCCATGTCTATTTGTCAACATTTAACGGCAGCACTCAATCTGCAGTACCGTTATGCAATGTTGCCAGATTCACCTCTGCGGTGTTGCAACACCCAGATTAGTAACGAATGACAAAATGTAGGTTAGAAGTGATGGTATAAATAACTATATAAGAGTACGAGACTGACTTTTTTCCATGTAGGGGAACATGATGTAATGTCGCCCTAAATGCCCCTAATTTGGGCCCAAACATAAATTAAGCAATCGACTAAATTTTCAAAAGCGATCAAAAATATCCATTATTACCGTTCCAATGACGCGTTCATCTAGATAAAATTGATAAATAGCAGATGTTAAGAGATGGGCCCAATCTTAGATCCATAGGCCAACATTAGAACCATTTCCCCTATTTTCGTTTGGAAATGAAGATATCCTTACATTTATTTGTATTTCTCATAACAATCGTGTGATCCCATGCATTTATAATTTCGTGGGACTCATGGGTAGGATTTGTTGCTACGGGATACTTTTTTGGTATAGACACTTTTACCCTTTTTTGTCTGGACACTGTTGACTACTTAGATCAGAAGATTGTGGTAGAAAACAGTACCTACTAGGGTTACAATAGATGGACGCATGTTTGAGTGATAGTTTTGACGAATTATCAATATTGTCTGAATTTCACTAGTGGCTACGACAATGGTATTTGCTACTTCACATATACCAGAACAGTACTTGACTACAGCCCAAGAAACCAAGCACTCCGGAGTAGTCGAACAGCGTCAATGTTATATGAAGAAGAATCATAGATAAAAACTACTCACCCGTGAAGAATATCGCCAACAGCGGAGGCGTTAATATGAACTGATCCAGCAGCAGCTTCCTCACCACGATACGTTTGGCAGTTCCTGGAAACGTCCTATCTAACCATTTGTACCTGGAGTTCGTGATACCAAAGCAAGAATGTATTAATAACCACTCATTTTTTGCAGTGCTCAATTCTACGACATTGGAATACCGCAGTGCAAATTTTTATGTGATCCAAGAACAGTGCCATTTACCTTGCTGCAAAAAGCATCCCTGAGCGAGAATGTGTGAGTGAAAATGAATATGATATATTTTTCTCTCCATTTTATGATTTGTTTTCCGATGATGCTCAATAATGTCTGATATGTCAGAGGGGAGAAATCAATGAAAATGTTGGGTTTCAAACATTACGCATGCAAGAAAAATATATAAATAAATAAAAAAAAGAAGTTATTTTCGGTTAGATGACTTTGCAGCCACGTGAATCGTTTCGGTAGAATGCGTAAGCAACACCCACCAATTGTAGAGGATTGGAGAGTAGATGAACGTTCCCATGATGGCATATCGTCCCAGGGTTGGCTTATCGATGTCCTGTGGAGGATCAGTCTAGAACGGAGTGAAAATTCATTGAGGATGGAGTTAAATGTAGCTATAGGATACGGAAATTACCAGGAATTTCCTCGTGATTGTTTGTTGAGAAAACTCTGCCCCCACATACAAGCTTCCGTATACCATCCCATTTCCTGCCAGCGGATATTTGTTGAAGAAGTTGGAAAATGCTCGCAGTAGTTTTGCCATTGCCGGAAGTTACGCTTTCGAAATGGAGTTTCCCTACAGTGATTGTAATGGGAGATGGATGTTATTGTTTGAAACGCAATGGTTTGATTCAGAACTTACCTTCCTTGATTGGCTAGTTTTGCGCACTTTGGAAGAGAGTTAGAACGGATGGTTTTGTTTTGAGCAGCGATTTTTACCACTTATCCGGCCTAGAGATTCAAAATGATTGTACAACTAGGCCTTATACTTGAGCTGTACGTTTTCCCTGAGCTCAGTTTCATATACGGAAGCTTGCTTTTATCGATGAGCTCATTACCACTGGTTCATATCTGCCACCTACGGATATCTTCGGATGGCCAGCTAGAAATGAAATTGATTATTATCCAACAAAAAAAAAACAAACTTTTGACATACTCACTCTGCAGTGACCCGTCAAGCCGAGCCGAGTCGAAGAAATCAATTTCTGTGCTGCCTGTCTTCGATAGGGCCAAGTTCTAAGGCATATATTTATGTTGAGAGTCGGCTCATGCGCGTTGGCTTTCGACGGAAATATGAAACAACGTGTTTCCCGCTATTTCCACGATATAGATGGATGTATTTTAACCGCTTTTGTTTTGATCGCCTCTTTCGAGTCCCCCTACAGAACTCCCACAATCAAACGTTGCCTTTGAATTAGAGAGGTAGAGAACACTTTTTTTTTATCGCACGCACAGCCACGCACACTCAAAAGCGTGCGATAATATATTTTTTGAGACAGTGACGAAACTGAGAATAGTGAAAACAGAAACCGTTTTCCGAATTTCTTCGACCTTGACTGAGAGCACCGTGCGAGCGCCGAGGTGACTCAAACAGGTTGCGTTCGGGAGGGTGCCGGATGATCAACTATTTTGTTGTGTCGAAGTGATTGAGCTACTGCTTGGTAAATTGCGAGGGGGTCTAATTTGGCGACAGTGACGATTGAAGGTGTTGATCTGGTACAACCAAATTTTCCGAATTGAATGAATAGTATGAATATTCCGGTATGGCAATGTTCATTCTGATATGAGCATATGGAGAAAATACGTAAACATATCTCTGGTGGCGACTGTCTGATGGTCCTGTTGCTTTTGCAGTCGGTATCAATTGATTTTAATCAACTGGGTCGCTTTTATTATGAAGATTGTTGTAAATTGTTTTCATTTCGCATGTGTTGCCGGTGCTGTTGTGGTATGTCGAGAATGTAGTCTGTGAAATGCGAATAATATAGATTTGCATTGGGATTTTGCACAATTTGAGGACGTAAAGTTCTTAAGCAAAACATTTATTATACCAGGGTTGAAAAGTTGGGCTGGAGTTTGGTCAGAGTCAGAGATAGTTCGAATGTGTCTGAGGTAGAAGATTTTAATGGACGCATAAAGCAAAAGATGTGCTATTTATGTAACTTATTACACAATGAAATATATAGGACAGACAATTTTGGTAGCTACAACTTAAACCTAAATCAGTACCTTATATTTCTTTACTATTATATAATAGTATAAGCAGTTCCATGAGCCAAATGACGAATCGAAAAAACACTCGGCTTTTTCCGGTTTGCATAAAACTTTGCATAATTCTGTGTTATGGGCAATCATTCACACAATCATTCGGCCATTTACGATATTGTCTTTTTTAATTCAAAATGTCGTCTCTGTAATTTTTCAATAAATTGTAGCACGAAAGCGTCAATTTTGATCGGAATGACGTCTGAGGCAAATTTGTTGAAAAAGATAAAGTTGTTTGGGGTAAAAAAAAAAAAATATATATAAATTTATTTTATGTAATAATTTATAAAATATTTTAAAAACCCAAAATGACCATGCCCTAATATTTTAATTTTTTTTTTCAATAAAAAAGATTATGAAAAAACATACTTGCGAGAGTTTATGCGATTCTTCATCAGGCGTAGAACTGTCTTCAAGGTACCACTTTCCCATAACATTCAGACAAAAAAAATAGAATAAAACACTGATTGTTTATGGGCACCCTAATTGAAAACTGAAAACAGGCTTGCAAAAGCTATTTTTCGTAATTATGAAACTACGAGATACTATAAAGATAATTTTTATTTGTTAGAAGAAAGAATAGGTGGTAAAGTTTGTATAGAGGAATTTACGTATTCTCGGCAACCTAAGCAGCAACCTTCTTTCTATAGCCTTTTTCTCTAAGAAACGCACGCATATGCAGTATTGGTTTGTTTACAATCTTTTGCTGCCAGCTGCTCTAACAATTTCAGTCGAAAGAATTGTCAAAAACTGTTTTGAAACGCTTTTACAAAGCTCCTATCCAGGGTTACTTCCACTCACTTGCTATAAAAAAATGTTTTTCGGAATTATGAAATCATGATATAATATAATGCTTATTAGTACTTGTAAGTTACAAGAAGAGGTCATGAAGTATATGTTTGACACATTAAATCTGTCAAAATTGCTTTCAGTGCGTCACAATCAGCGAAAAGCGGCCACGGCCAATACAAATTAAAAAAAAAAACTTGTATGGACAATTGTCTATGAAGATGAGCGCTCACTCATCGCGATAGCTCGTTACAGCTACAAAGCTCGTTACAAAATGGCCGAATTTTAGCAAAAATGTGAATGTTCGCCCTTAATAGAGTAATGCGGGGCAAAAGTACACACTTAACTTTTTTAGTAAGTTAACTATTGAACGAAAGGCAAATACCATGCGACCAAGTTACCACGCATTGCCTTAATATCTTACCTTTCAAACGTAGTACTGGAAATTTCCAAAATATTTGTGTAATATGAGAACTGAAACAGTTTTTAAAAATAGTCCTACGGGGCAAAAATACGCATTGTACGGGGCAAAAGTACGCATACGTTTCTTGAGTACTGTACCTCCCCTCTGGTCAACCAGGATTAGGGAGCATCCAAAAACTACGTTTTCTTTTTAGGGGCAGAAGCGTGAGGGAGGGAGGGTGATGAGAGTTGTAGTTTGTTGGTTTCCATAAAGGTTCATAAAAAACATATTAAGGTTCCATGCAAAACGGGTAAAATAATCTTTGAAATTCGACCACGTTTTCTCTGGATGGTTCCCGGGAAGTCGATCTTTAAGGGGTCATACATAAAGTACGTGATGCACTTAGGGGAGGGGGTCCAGAAATAACTAAAAATTCAAACACAAAGTCAATCTGAATTGATTTATTGCATTTTATTGAAAACGAAATTCAAGAAGTTCATGATAAAAATTCATCAAAATTAAAAGAGAATTCAGTATGCTTAGCAGAGGCTTACTTCTGCTTTTTTCCCTTCTTAGCACTTGGTGCTGGCTGCTCCGTTGCAAGCTTGCGTTTTGCCTTGGGGCGCTGCTGTTTTTCCTGTTTTTCCTGAAGCACAGCTTCCAGTTTTTGTTTTACCGGTGTACTGGTAGGTATTTCAGATTTTTGTCCTTTCTTTCGTCTTTGCTGGGGGACTTTCCTTTTGGGAAGTGGACGAATTTCAGCTGGACATACTTTTGCAGACTTACTTAGATCCAGAGCTCGCATTTGCTGATCTTCTTCACCAGTATTCATAGGAAGTGGATCGGGTGCTGCATAAACTGATAGTACAGCTTGCAATTGTCGTTTATTTGCTTGCGGTGTAGCGTAACTTGTGGAGGGTTCGCAGGCCAGATCCGAATGTGCGTTAGATTAGTTGGATGCTTGAGGTATGTCTGTCACCTAGCTCGGCCTAGCATCGTCCTTGAATACCTCCGGGTTGAGAGGCTCGATCCCACACGTTTTGAATGCTGTCACAGCTTTGTCCACAGTAGCACATTTGCAATTTGGTACTGTGTGATGACCCTACCCGGATTGTTCGTCAACCAGGTGCTACAGGCTTCTGAGAAATGGGTTTCCAAGGCCTTGAAAAAACAGCGGTCCAACGGCTGTGTTTTGTGGCTGCTATGAGGGGGAATTGTCAGCAGCACGATTCCGTTCGCGCGGCAAAACAGGATTGCACGAAGATCCCTATGGGAGCTGTGGTTGTCCATAACCAGAAGAACTGGATCTTCTTTCGTCGCTTTCACCTCGTTTTGAAAATGCTTAAGCCACTCCAAAAACAGATCTCCATTTATGTACCCTGTATCCGAAACAAGCATAATCGTTCCTGGGGGAGCACCATTCAACAGCTGTGGATTTTGCCGCTTCCGCTTGAAAACATAGTTCATAGTTCCCGGATGCACTCATAGCGCATACAGCCGTCGTCAATTCTCCCCGTTCAGCAGAGCTCACTTTGCCAACAGCTTTTTTACCTGTACTAGCAATGACTTTCGGCGGACAATTCTGAACAGTTGACATGCCAGTTTCATCCATATTGTACTGGCGGTGTGGAGGAAATTTATGCGGCTGTTTCAGTTCGGACAGATTCGCGAAAAATGCCTTGATCTGTTGCTTGTTAAATCCCATGATCCGGGCCAGACTGGTTTGTTGAGGCGTTCGCAAAGACAGATGGTGAATCTTCATGAATCTCGCCGCCCAATCCCTTCCTGCCATCTTAGAAGTCCGATCGAACTCGTGCGGAATGTTATTTTCTTCTGCAAACTGAAACGCAAGGCTCCGTAAATCGTTGAGTGTCATACCCTAGAATGCCTTGTCGTGGTCCTTGCAGTGGCTGGCAAGTTCTTCAGACTGCTCGGTTGTAAATACTGGGATGAACCGTCCAAGGCGCTGATTGGTAAATCCCTACAGGAATTCAATTATCACTGCCTAAATAAAGCTAAATAATAATAATAATAATTATTATCACTGTTAAGATAATTTCATTTGGTACTTGATTTTACTCACCAGTTTCAACCTTTTCCTCAATGCTCCTTCCGTTATTCCGAGATCCAGTGCAACCTGGCGCTTCGAAATGCCATCCCGGACTCTTTGCTGAGCTGTTTCGAGCATCTGGGAAGTGCATTTCTGCCGACTGGTTTTGCGCATGTAGTTCCTGTACGAAAACATAACCATTTCAATGCGACATCCTGTGCGTACTTTTGCCCCGCGCCTGCTGCGTACTTTTGCCCCACATGCAGATTTATCAATGATTCGATTTATTACAAAACTTATGAAACTGTTTGAACGGAATGACTGCACCTCTCAAACTATCATAGAGTAAAGATATTTTTAGCATTTTTATACCCATTTTTTTCTAAACTTTAAATGGTCAAAACATAATCCCCGAAATGTTGAAAATTAGATCAAAACTGCACAAAACACAAATTACCTCATAACTTCACGCCACTACGTTCAAATCACTTATGTTTACACCTGTGATCAGCTGGTCAAATGATGTGTCGAACCTATACAGTGTGGCCAGGTTTTCATGTTCGAACATTTCAAAAAGCCAAATCATCAACAGTTACTCTAGCTTACTTTTATTTAAATCCATTTATTTGTCAAGTTTCAGCTGCGTTAGCTTTGCGGAGTCGTAATTCAATATATATTAACAATATTTCTTATGACTAGAGTTAGTGGAACGTGGGCCAAATACTCGTGGCTTGTTTTATGAATTTGTACTACCTGCTCCGTCATTATACTCTGCAAAGTTTGGCCATGTTGATTCTGCAAGAACGTTTTTCACAGATGGATCTCTAATAGAGGAGTCCGCTGGTTTTGGTGTTTTTAATGAATTTCGCCTCTCGAAAACTTGAAGCTCCTTGTTCTGTGTATGTGGCTGAACTGGCAGCAATTCACTACACTTTGGAAACTATTGCTTCCCTTCTTCCAGGCCACTACTTTATTTTTACGGATAGTCTCAGTTCTGTCGAGGCTATCCGTTCCATTAGGCCGGTAAAGCACTTCTCGTATTTTCTCTTGAAAATACGAGAACTGTTTAGTGCTTTATTCGTGCGCTCTTTCATCATCACCTTCGCGTGGGTCCCTTCGCATT